CTAAGTAAAATCCTCAACAAAACATCAGCAAACCGGATCCATCAATATATTAAAAAGATCAAACACCACGACCAAGTGGGATTTATTTCAGGGATACAAGGGTAGTATAATATACGCAAATCAATAAATGTGATACATCACATAAACAAATTCAAAGATAAAACCACATGATCTTATCAGTAGATGCAGAAAAAGCATTTGACAAAATTCAACACCCATTTTTAAAAAAACTTATTGAATTCAGAGAGGAAGGGAGAGGGAGAGAAACATCAATGATGAGAGAGAATCATTGATTGATTGGCTGCCTCCTGCATGCCCCGCACTGGGGATGGAGCCTGCAATCTGGGCATGTGCCCTGACCAGGAATTGAACCGTGACCTCCTGGTTCATAGGTCATGCTCAACCACTGAGCTATGCTGGCCAGGCAACACCCATTTTTGATAAAAATTCTCAGCAAAGTGGTAATAGAGGGATCATTCCTCAACATAATAAAGGCCATATATGACAAACTTACAGCCAACATTATGCATAATGGGCAAACCTAGAACCATTTCATGACTTTTTAAAAACAAATGTTGAAGTTATTGATTTCAAATTATTTACTATGGGGACCTTTTCTCGTTAAGCCACCAAGATCCTTTACATTACAGCCTAGATATTACTTCTGTAGTTTAATTCTTTTTCTTTGATGTTATCCTTTTACTTTTAAATGCATGTATTTCAGAGTTTATAAATCCATGTATATTGTACTTTTGTTGCTTTACTAACCGTAGGTATCTGCATGGAGAATAGCCATGTTCTGTAGAAAATTAATATATATGTTTTTTAATGTTTTAATTGATTTTAGAGAGGAAGGGAGAGGGAGAGAGATCAATGATGAGAATCATTGATCAGCTGCCTCCTACACGCCCCCTACTGGGGATCTTGCCCGCTACCTGGTCATGGACCCCAACCTGGAATCAAGCTGTGACTTCCTGGTTAGTGGGCCCATGCTCAAGCACTGAGCCACTCCGGCTGGGTGAAAATTAATATTTTTAAATTGCTTGTTTCATAGCAAATGATTTCAGAAGTTAGGTTGTTGGCTTAGTTTCATTGTATGTTTAAATATATTGACTATTGTTTTCCCTAAATAATTCATTTCTTTCTTGATTCTTAGTTTCTACCTACCTTTATATGCAAGTATAAATAACAAATTCCTACTTCTTATGATCAGTCAATAAGCAGATTTTGAAAAAGCTTAGTATTATTTGAAACACATTCTCTATCTTGACATATAGGTAGTAGGTGATTATTTAATACTTATTTTTCTCTTAACATTACCTAAAAGTACTTAGTAAAAGTTTAGGTATTTATTGAGAGTTTCATATATTATTCAATTTTATATTTTAAGCACAGCATCAGTAAGTAATTTGCTTGTTACCCTTTTATCAGCAGGATTATTACCCTGATATAAGCAGGATTCTTATTGTACTAGAGGCCTGGTGCACGAAATTCATGCACTTGGGGCGGGGGGCGGTCCCCTCAGCCTGGCCTGCACTCTCTCGCAGCTCGGGAGCCCTCAGGGGATGTCTGACTGACATCTTAGGAATGGGCTTAAGCCAGCAGTCAGACATCCTTAGCACTGCTACGGAGGCGGGAGAGGCTCCTGCCACCACCGCTGTGCTCGCCAGCCATGAGCACGGCTCAGGGCTCTGGCTGAGCGGTGCTCCCCCTATGGGAGTGCACTGACCACCAGGGGACAGCTCCTGTGTTGAGCATCTGCCCCCTGGTGGCCAGTGCGTGTCATAGCGACTGGTTATTCTGCCGTTAAGTCTATTTGCATATTAGCCTTTTATTATATAGGACTAGAGGCCCGGTGCACAAAAATTTGTCTCTCATAGTGGACCCATGCCAGAGGAAGTTGAAGCCTCAAACCATTGCCCAGCCTCATTACCCTTGGGCTGTGAGCACTGAAGGGGGCTGTACAGTATAATAAAAAAATTGTGCCCTCGGAGGGGGGGGGGTCCCTCAGCCCGGCCTATGCCCTCTCGCAGTCTGGGACCCCTCGGGGGATGACCACTTGCTGGCTTAGGCCTGCTCCCCAGTGGATTGGGCCTCAGCTGGCAATCAGACATCCCTCTGGCAGCCCGGCAGCCCTCGGGGGATGTCCACTTGCCAGCGGGGAGCAGACCTAAGCTGCAGTTGGACATCCTTAGCGCTGCTGGGGAGTCAGGTGAGGCTCCCACCACCACTGCTGTGCTGGCAGCCATCAGCCTGGCTTGTGGCTGAGCAGAGCTCCCCCATGTGGGAGCGCACTGACCACCAGAGGGCAGCTCCTGCATTGAGCGTCTTCCCCCTGGTGGTCAGTGTGTGTCATAGTGACCAGTCATTCCCAGTCTTTCTGCTGTTAGGGTCAGTTTGCATATTACCCTTTTACTATATAGGATAGAGGCCTGGTGCACAGGTGGGGGCCGGTTGGTTTGCCCTGAAGGGTGTCCCGGAT